TGGATGCAGACCCAATATTAAATAAACCCAGCCCCAGCCACAACTGGTAAGTGAAGGATTTAAAAAATAATTATATTGGTGAATACACCATACTCATAGATTGTGCATCGTTAGAAGTGCACAATATTTGCCCTTCTATCAATGTTTGTTTATGTTGTCACTGCATTAACAAACCCAAACTCTGTTCTATTAATGAATTATTGTTTTGAGCCTTCTATCTTGATCTTTTCCCTGGTAGTTCCGGGCTTGGCTTTAAAACTACTTTAAAAAGTCTGCTTTTTGGTTAAGTCTCAGTGAAGCGACCATCATTCAGTGTTTTTGTTCCATTTTTATTCCACAAATACAGCAACAGCCAGAACTGCAATGAACCGCTTATTTTTTACCAGTCTCAGTAAAACTAAACCTTGCAGAATAATACTGATAACTACGTCATTTAAAAAACACAAACTGTTATAGCAATGACCTTCTGAAACCTGCAGGATTCAGCACAATTCTGCCCTTACCGGCCTGCTCAAATCTTTTCCTGTAGACATATCAGTTGTTTAATGGTTTAGTTTAGTTTATTTTTGTTTGTCACATACAGATTACATGCAGGGAATGTCTTATGTACCACCAGCAGATGTTCAATACAGTATTGGGAACACACAACAACAGAATAATAACACAGAGACAGAGCTAGTCCCGACGACAATACAATAAATGAACACTACAGTAAGTCTGCACTTTAAGCCATAATTACACAAAATCTCTTATGGCAAAGTAGATAACAGTAACCCTAACCTTTAAAATATTCCCTAACCCTAAACCTAAATCTGGTCCTAACCCTAACCATAGTGAGCCCTAACTTTAACCCTAACCCTACTCTAGCCCTAACTCAAACATTGACCCTGAACTGTTAATTAAAGGAATAGTTCACCGTTTTTACATACTGACATATGTTCTTACCTTACCTTAGACTAGTTAATACGTACCTGTCTGGTCTTAGTCCGTGCGCTCTGTCATGCAAACGGAGCAAAAACGGGAGCACAACCGCAGCCTCCTCTGTATATTTTGTAGCACCAAAAGGTAGCTCCCGCTAGAAGCTACCAAACTCTTCCAAGTGTTCCCTATTAAATGTATATAGTTACGTGACGTGTTACACTGCAAAGTATAGTAACACAGAAATGTAACAGTCGATTTTCTCAGCGGATAAAACGGGTACTATATTGTGAGGCGTAGTAATCTGAGGGGCGCTACGTCCGCGCACTAACTTCTCTCCGGAGACTTCTCTCTCGCTCACTTCCGTCAATAGAAGCAGCGTGACTTGTAATACACACAGTAGCAGCGAGAGAGAAGTCTCCGGAGAGAAGTTAGTGCGCAGAGAAGTTAGGAGCGCTACGTCCGCGCACTAACTTCTCTCCGGAGACTTCTCTCTCGCTGCTACTGTGTGTATTACAAGTCACGCTGCTTCTATTGACGGAAGTGAGCGAGAGAGAAGTCTCCGGAGAGAAGTTAGTGCGCGGACGTAGCGCTCCTCAGATTACTACGCCTCACAATATAGTACCCGTTTTATCTGCTGAGAAAATCGACTGTTACATTTCTGTGTTACTATACTTGGCAGTGTAACACGTCACGTAACTATATACATTTAATAGGGAACACTTGGAAGAGTTTGGTAGCTTCTAGCGGGAGCTACCTTTTGGTCCTACACAGTGACCAGAGGAGGCTGCGGTTGTGCTCCCGTTTTTGCTCCGTTTGCATGACAGAGCGCACGGACTAAGACCAGACAGGTACGTATTAACTAGTCTAAGGTAAGGTAAGAACATTTGTCAGTATGTAAAAACGGTGAACTATTCCTTTAATAAACTGAAAATCTTTATTGCAGCCGATAAACACACTCTAAAGCAACTGTATAGAATGGGGAGGAAGTTCTGTTTTCACACATTCATAAATCAGTAAATGATTACTACAAGCAGTAGCTAATTCAATATATAAAGATATTTGTCACATTGTTCTTATTTTACATTTAAAAAGGCAAATGTAGCTTAAAACCCCTGAATTCCTCTGTGTCGTAGTTGAAACATAATCATGCAAAATAAATGTTGTAAAGTAGTGTCAAAACTGTCCTGTTGAAAAGCTCCACGTCTACTACCCTTTTATTTGTGGTTAATTTTCAGAGACCTTTCCCTGCTGCGTCTTGTTGTCAGTGTAGTTTGTGAAAAGTCATTTTGGAGCGCTCCTTCATCTCACTCCTCGCCACATTGACAGATGAGCAAATACAGCTCTCCTGGTCCTCCGGTGAAAAAAGCCACATTCTAATAAAAATGAGTCCAGTGTGAATGTTATGCTCTTCTGTCGCATGTTGAATTGTATTAACTTATTATGGAACTAAATGTAGTGATATTGGAGATGGATGATTCCCAGCTGCGTCTACACTCTTTCTCATCAGCCTGCTCTTGTTTTATCAGCAGCTGCTTGATTCACCACCAAGTTTGAGAAGTGACTGAATAAAGCACTTTAGTCCAACCAACCATTAACTAAAATACAGTGTAAGTCACGTGGATGGGACAACATTGTGTTATAAAAAAGCTACACCAATCAGTTTGTTTGAATGGTTTACTGTATGCTCCAGTTTAAAATAGTCATTATGTAGTTTGCTCTCTTACTGGACTAACAAAGTCATCACAATTACATTCCAACTTTTATGGTCGGAATCCTCCTGTCTGTGACAAATGTAGCTCCTGAGCACTGATTACTGATGCAATCCATCAATTGGAGTTCAGCTAGAAACTGAAAAGACTTTGTTTGGTGCTTTTTATGTGAATTGTGTATGTTTTGTTTAAAAAAAAAAAAAAAGGTAAAAAAAGAGAGACAAAACCACTTAAACTTCACGTAACAAATTAGCCCCAACTGAGGGCCTCATAACTGAGGTTGGTTGACTGGCTGATCTGCTTGAAAACTGCAAACATACAACTCACTCAACTTCTGATCAGAGAAAAATATGATCAATTAACAGTATATGGTCAAATATGATTTGTTCATGTGACTTGTTTTCTGGGGACACATATAAAAGACATAGAACATATTACATACTGTCCCTTTAAATCTCCAGTCCAGCTGTCCAACTTTGCCCTGGTGTTATGATCAGGCCTTCCAACCAAAAATATACATTATTACCATTACATATTATTCCCAATTTTGTGAAACTAAGTCACTATTACTTGATTTTGTCCAGAGCTCATGATGAGACGGAGCAGTTGGCGTGTATCAGTCTGTGGCTTAGAGCTGAATCTTCCTTCATTTGTTGTTACTTTCTCCCAAACTGTCAGTGGGTATTTGCGTTCCATCCGAGCAGTGATGCCAGTCTGCGCTCCAACTCCCATCTGATCTTGTGCTTTGTTTAAACTATAAACTCTAAAGTCCTTCAAATCTGTGATGATTTTATATTCTCATTAACATGCCTGATTTATATTAGAGTTTTCAGTTTTTCTATATTATTTTGGTCATAATCAATGCAATGAATTATAGTAGTACTATCATATGCGGCAACAGTGGTGTTAAACTACTACTGAAGCCACATCTGCCCTGGCGCAGTTTGAAGTGATGCTGCTAATCTGTGCCATTAGCCTCGGTCTACGGTCACTAGCAATCATTCACACAAACACCAGACTCATTCTTGGCAATGTGGATGAAGTGTTTTGCTTAAGGAAACAACAGAAGTTTGGCCCTTTACAGCTGTAGCCGCCCCACTGTGGCACCTGGTGTTCCCTGAGGTCCCCCATCACAGTACTAACCAAGCCCTGTCATACTAAGCATCTGACGTCTGAGGCTTTGACGCAGGTGGCACCACAATAGCCTGTTTTAGTCAAAGATAAAAGAGAGTTGTGTGGTTGGAATCACCTTGGACTGTGTCTCTTTTTCTTCTCTTTATGCACTGTTGCCAGATGAAATTTAGATTCATGCATTTTTTTCTCCTATTCCTTGTGTCACTAAACAACACTCCACACAGAGCTCACGCCCTGGTGTGTTTCTCACTTCCTCACGTCGGCACTGAGCTGAGTTGTTGTCTGAGCCGCAGGGCTGAGTATTTACATGGAGCCGTTCCTCTCAAGCGTCAAATCAAGTTCTGTGATTGGCCCTTTGCATAAAGTTCAAATCCAAGCATGGGTCACTGGGTTCACAAATAATTTCACTCTTAGCTGACTTCCATCCAAGCATCTCAGCGGCCAGTGCTAGTCCTTCACATTTCAGACCGTATGCATGTATTTTTCACACATCGCTCTAATACTACTTTTATAAAAATGATCGAGCCTTTAAAGATGCAGTCCAGACGCATTTTTTTATATATTGTGGGAAAACGTCCCTAAACCCTAAAAGTAGTCAAGTTATCATGTGTTTTCAAATAGTAATGGAATTGACGTTTGCCACCCACTCTCCCTGTTTTGACAAAGAAAAGAAAATGCAGAATGTTTGTTTTGGTGGAGAAGCGAGGGGATGGGAAGAGTGGTTTCGATGCTACAGCTAAGCTAACAAAGCTGGCTTACTGCACCTGAAGTTTGTCTGGAGTTTGTCAGAAAAAAGAAAGAGAGGTACATGATTTGAAAAAAAACTACGCAAGCTCCCTCCCCCTTCCTTTCTGATTGGTCTATGCCTAAGTTTCTGTAACAATCAATCAATACATTTAAATGTTAATCGGAGAACACATTATACTGTACATATACATTATTAACGTTTTCATGACAAAAATAAAGTTTTATTGCAACAAAAAAATGCGATCGCGGTAAACCCGGAAGTAGCTACAGGATGTCAGCTTTAAAATAACAGCAAACATGAGGAAATAAAAAATCCAGAAAATTTTGGCATAAGCTTCCCACAAAGGTTTTCTAGTATTGAGTTAAGAATTTTTCAATCTTTTTCGTCGCTGATGATCTGTATAGCTCTTCAATCTATTAAAAAGCCAATGTTCTCCTCACAGTCTGCTTGCGTTTGGCTCTAATTGCTGCTGTTTTTGTTTGTTCCAGGATCACTCTGAACGGGATGAAAGTGTCGAGACCGGACGTCCGAATCGGCCGCTACCGAATGATTAAACACGAGCGAGACCGGCACAACGAGCCCAACCCTCAAAGGTACTGCATCACTGTCCACTCCAGACTCCGCTGCAGATAGTCTATTTACATCGAGAGATTTCAGAGCCTTTCACTCAACATTATGTTGTTTGCATTGGAAACTGCTTTTCTTCAAGCTACTGTGGTGCAATGGCTCTATGTCAGGGGGGTCAAACCGGTCCTCCAAAAGGTTTGTTTGTGGTTCTTGTGAAAGACAAGATACAATAGATATTCAGAACTGTGGCCTTGGTGAGGTGTCATTTATCAGCTGAGGTTACTTCCGGAGTAAGCATGGTCACCCTGACAGGTCACTCAGACTGACCACGCCCCCTTTTGACCAGTGGTCTCTGGAGGAGGTTGTCCCATGTGTGCGATAAGAGGAAGGGTCCCTCATCTGGGTTGATGCTGTTGTTTCCCTGCTTTCTGATTTCAATGGCTTCTTTGATCCAGCGTTTTTTCTGCAGCCGAAACATCTTAACAAGGTAATATATCTCACTTGTCTTTCAAAAGAACCCTGAACAAATATTTTAACTCAAGACAAACTTTTAGAAATGGTCCCCGGAGAGCCGGTATGGCTGCAGGTTTTCATTCCAAGCCAGCAGAAGCACACCAGACTCCACCCATTTTTTCAAGTGAGTCCAGTCTGAAGCTCAGCTCTACGCCAAAGCCTTGCTAAATGTCATAATGAGGGTGCACACATATTAGTGTTTTAATAATTATATCACTTTGCCCTATGTGTGTTGAGTAGACTTCAAACTTTATTCTTGTGTGTTATGAGCGGAGATAGAACAGTTAAAAACCATGCTATGGAACAATCCAGGTATTGTATTGTATAATCTCCAGGGAAACAAGCAGTTAAATAGTCATCCATCTGAAAAGTACTTTGAACAGCTTTAGAATTAGTCTTGGCTCATACAAAATGGATTTCAGGCTGAGAAGAGATGAGAAAAGAGCATCACTGTCCCAATTACTGATAAAACATTTCACTCATGGCTGAGTGCTGAATGATTCATGTGTGCTGCCATTGAAATCCATAAAGACACAAGGACCCACTAAATAAATCACATCAAGACTAGTTTATACTGTAACATCCAAAACATAAATATTCCAGCACAGTAGAGCGCTGAGGCAATGCTTTTCTCGTCTTACGACACGTTCTCCGGAGGCAAAGCACTGGGTTTGTTTACCATTTCAATTATAATTCCAATTACAGCTGCAGTCCTCAGAAAGAATAATACCCAATAATGCCTCTGATTTACAGCGCGATCCGGGTCAGGACAGTTCAGAAATGTGTGTGCATTTGTACTTCTTAATCACACCACATAAAACAACCACAACTAGTCTGCACTAGTCCAAATTAGACCAGGACCAAATCAGGAAGATGTGCAAAAAGTCTGAACGTAATCTAAATACATCTATATTCAGTGGTCAGTCCTTTACAGTGTATGCACAGCTTTCGACAGCTGCAGCAGCACTCAGACCTACAACTAAAAGGTTGTATATCTATCGTCAGCAGTGCCCCGTTCAGATGGTCGGAAAGTGTATAAAGTATGTGGTGAGGGGTTTTACAGCCTTAAAACTTATAGCTGATACTTTGCCCCTTTTTGCTTATTTTCATATTATTATCATAGTGGTTATTTTCGTATATCCGCTATGATAAACAAGGAACCGCTGTGTACAAAAACTAGCTTCCACTCTTTCTTAAGTAGCTAAGTAAGAGTACAGTGGTGGTCAAAGCCATTTTCCTCGGCTTCCTCATTTGAATAGACATGTTGTTAGGTGTAGTGGTTCTTCCGGCACCCCCTCCATGCTCATCGGTGAGTTTGTTTCTTAGCACTAATATTGTACCTACATAGTGAGGTACAATATTAGTCATTCAAACAACAAGATTTCCCATTGAAATGAATGAGAAGGCCCGGAGCTGGTCAGGGTCTGGCAAGGTAATGTCCAAAGTTAATCATTTATATTATACAATTTTGTAATAAGGTTCAATAGAGGACCAAACCAAGTCACAGCAAGGACTACACTGGAGCCTCCCTAGGTCCAAACAAGACAGCCTTTCCAATATCTTGAACTATTTATGGTAATTAATAGGGAGTGGCATAATACTCTCCACTATTTCAGAAAGTAAAGCTCCAACATGCCTACATTATTATCTTCTAAGATCATAAAGTTATAATAATGAGATTTGAACTATGGGGATCCTGTCATGTGAGGATAGAGGTGCTAAGTTAGATCAATACACCATGAAAAACCAATTAAATAAAGTCAATGTTTTGGTTTGCTTAGATTAGGGGTTTATTTGATGGCGTGGTGAATAGATCTTATAAGCAGAGATGAGCCTTGTGGACGTATTACCTCCATAGTACGTATATCACCCACAATAAGCTGCTTATAGCTGGATTATTATTACGGACGATTCTTCAGTTTTCTGCCCTGGATAGGTCAGTCTGCCACGGCTGCTCCCGGACACAAATCGATACTCCCTCTGTACCAAAAGAAAAGAGAAGTGTGAACTCCGCACGGGCTGTATTTTAGTTTGATCCCAGCTGACATTTCTACAGTGAACAGAGACACAAACAGCCTGCTCAGTCAGAGGTGGGAGAAGCATGAAGTCATTTAATTGGTTTATAAGAAGATTTTTTCCTGTATAAGCTCCAACCAAAAGTCATGTGTGAAATTGGATGTTGCTAGTGGCCTATAAGAACTCAAAAGTTTGTGATTGTTGGGGTTTTTTGCGAATGCAGAGTCTGGCATCACGGGTCCAAAGGGTTCATGTGACTTGAGACTATAGTTTAACATTGTGGTGGAGGGGTCAGCTGGAATACCTTTCCTGGTAACTACGGCAACTGTCAAAGTCAGACGTCTTTGTTTTGACACAATTGGACAGAGAATTTCATTTCTGGGACAGTTCTAGATGAAAGAAAAACTGTCAAAAAGTTTCTTTGTCAGAACATGTCAACTTTGTTCTAATTATATTATCATTTAAGGTGTCGAGAAGTGGTGACAATAAATAACAAATAATAATCTGGGAAAAGGGTTAGGGTTAATTGCATATTTAATTGTTTTACTGTTTCTTTCCCATAGATTTGTATTAGCACCAAATTCAATTCCTAACATCTTTTTACCCATGAATCTGGTTTCATAAAAATTAATGTGACTGTATTTTTTTTTTTTTGACCTTTAAAAGCCGTTGAGATTAAAAACCTCTTTCACACGAGTGACGTGGCCATGTGTCAGCAGCAGGATTTGTCTGGAACAGTGAATGTTAAAGTACACACCTCTGTGGATTATCGCCATGGGCTACTTTCCATTCGTTGTCGCACTCTCAAACAGACACTCATTCGCTCCTTATGGGAATTGAACCTGGAACCTACTTGCTCTGAAGCATGAGCATTAACCAAAAAATAACTATAAAATAGTTCTTGCAGCAGTAGTAGTACTTTATTCTACATAGTTCTTGCAGTAGTAGTAGTAGTAGTAGTAGTAGTTTATTTGGTCATTATGAACATTGCCATAATGTTTTTGGAAAGTCATATACATTTTACGATAGGAACAAAACATGGATATGTAGAATTTAAGCGTCCGAGTTTAATTGTTTAGATACATGTATTTAATTCTAGGTATAATCAGTTATTCCTACAAAAAGAAAAAACATATTTTTAGCCAGCTTGCCTCTCCATGAATTACACCTGTAACTTGGATTATTTGCTTCCTCGTCTCTATGGAAACAGATGAGTTGAATATGTTAAGACATTTCACGACAGTACCTCACACATTTACATTGACATTCACGATTAAATGACTTGATTTTCTATTTGTATTGTTTATTCACTCATTTCTACAGCAACAGAAATCATATTATTTGACATTTTGCTGCTGTATTCTAACATTAAGAGTAACAGCTTAATTGTATTTACTGAATTTATGAAGACAAATCTGCTAAGCGCACAGCAAGTGTCCAATTATCCACGTCCTGCGAAGATGTGCCGTTAAATGTACTGAAAATAATAAAGTACTTACAAACACAACTGAATATACTGTATTTTAGACATCAACCCAACTCAAAATACTGTACCATGTTAACCAATACTACACAGTGGTTTTATAAAACATTTTCTCCTCTGTTTATGCCTCTTGCTGTGCTTTTTAATTAATACAACTGGGATATAATGGCACAATCCCAGTTGTTTTTCTTAGCGTTGTGTTTTTCAAATGTTATTTTGCATTGCCTTGCCTATTGTCCTTTTGTCCCCTATGTCTACAGTCACCGTTACACACAACAAGAGGTGACAACGCAGACGCTATTTATTTGGGCGATTTACATTATTCATGGGAGGCGAGCAGAAAGTAGAAGTCCATTAGTGCGCATGAGGTCGGTTTTTACAGCTTATCTCGGCACAAAATATACAACAGCAAAATCCACCTGAGGCTCGAGCTTTAGCAAAGTACTCAGGAGGGAAAAGGAAATGGTTGCTGTTTGTCAGGAGTTTTAAAAGTTTTAATAACACTTTTACCAGGTTGCGTTCATTTCACATCACAGCATTCTAAAGAGTCTACGTACTTTTGGTGGATGGTAGCTGAAATATCTTTCCGGGTAACTATGGTAACGTCGGATCTTAAGTTTGGAGCTAATTTCTCTTTAGTTCCAGGGTCAATCCACACACACACAAAAACTAGTTACAATCAAACAGTGATCTGAGAAAACATTTGGACGGTTTAATTTCTATCATTTCTTTCCCATAATGTTGCACCTTTTCTCCAATTTTTCCTGTTGAGAACGCCTTTGAATTGCGGTGTCATTGCTAATGCGGTGAAGCTCTGAGGTGAAAAATGTAATTATTATTTTTCAGAACATATGCCGATCTTTTGAATAGAAGAAGATAGTCCTTTATTCGTCCCACAGTGGGAAAGTGTCACCCATGTGAGTCACTATTTGACCTTTTAGGCTGCGAGCTGATTGGCTGATCCTCTCTGTTTAATTCTTTCTGCCGGAATTACTGAGAGCGAGGGACTACTTT